TTTCCTCTAGGGTACCATATTCCTCAACTGTGCAAATACTGCCTGCCTGTCTAAACTCTGCTGTGAGGGATATGTGTGCATGTCTGCTTGGTCTATGATCTTGAGTGTTTCCCATTACCTTTAGCAGAACTTCACAAACAAGAAAGGTTAAACCACTGCAATAAACTCATTCACTAGTGATTAACGGATATAAAGTTCATTTAGTCTGTCTCAATAAAACCTAGACACAAGTGCAGTGCTGTCAAAACTCCTTCATGGCCCACGTTTAATATTGAGACCCTGTTGTCTCCTATGCCATGTGCGGTACTTGAGTGAGAGCTGGAAGTAGCTACAATGAAGATGAGGCAGGAAAAGGATGCACAGCAGTGGGGGGTCTTTTGTCACCATGTGTGTGCATCAGAAGAAGGTGGTAATGGCGAGACTAGCAAACCTGCTAATCTGACCAGTAGGTCCCACCAGAATACCTGCATGAAGAAGGGATGGTGTTGGAGACTTTCTCATCACCAGCAATTACAGGTGAGGTGATGTCCCACTCTCCTGGTAGGGAGCACTGTTCTAGAGAGATCACAGTGAGGCTTTTAGATTAAATACAAAGCTAAGGTCGTGAACTCGTGGCTACTGAAGAGCTGGTCTCCAAACCTCCTTTTGTAAACTTAAGGATTTTGTTGTCCTGATTGTACTCCAACTTGGAATAGTTTTATTTTATCTTTCTGAACCATTGTGCATTATCAGTTGGAGAAGACATCCTTCCCTGTTTCCTCCGCAGAGCTGGTCTCTACCACAATTGAGTAGGGTCCAGTAGTTTGTTTTATTTGGGTCCAATAGTTTGCTTTATTTGAGTGTCAGATTAAATGATCTCTGCATGAATGCTAAAAGGTTTAACTAGAGGTGTTTACCAAACACTGCTTTACAGGCAGATGAGAGCATTGATTTGATGGCTGTAGGTGGTGTGTGTGTACAGTTCCCTGGCTGATGCAGCACATTCTCATGCGTTACTTTGTTTAGGAGGAAATTTAAATGTAATGACCACAAAACAAAAGGCAGTCTCTTCCTGGTTTACATGCTTCTCCTGACTTTGAAATTGCTGCTTTGTTCAGGTCCTTCTTGGCCAACAGCCTAGAAATAGCTATTTATCCAATAAACTTTTGCAAGATGTGATAAATACATGCTGGAATTGCAGGAAACTGGATGTTTGTTGTTTACAGTTCCTGCAACTTTCTCCTTATTATTTGCATTATGGAAGTTAAACTCCTTCCAACTGAAACAGCTGCTAGGTGGAAGCAGACTGAGACTTCAGGAAGAATTGTGTCAGTACCTAACAGCCTGTTAGGCTTCCTATTAGCACTGCAGTAGGATCTTGGGCTTTCTGGTAGATCTGGCTTTAGCTTGCTGCTTCATATTTATTTTGTAAAAGATTTAAAAACAATTTTCAGAACACAAGTTTCAGAGAGCTCTCTGCACTAGCATATGCATATTCCCCTACCTGCATACGGGTATGGGAATTGCATCCTTTTTTGAACGGACTTTTTCAGAGCTACGGGTATACTTTGGCTTATATCAAAATGCACAATATATCCTTGCCACACTTGTACACATGTTCGTGGATGCATGTGCATAATGTGGAGTATCTTTTTGCAGCGTCCTGACTTGCACATGCAGCTCCTAATTTCAGTCCAGCAGATGCACACATGCATTTTCATCAGCCAGTCTTTGTGATTTCTCCAAAACCAACTTATGTTGAGGGGTAACAGAATTAGAAATTGCTGATTCCCAGTGTTGAGATCATCCTACTTAAGTTCTTTGCCTTTTAAAGGATCATTTTCCTTTAGTTTTTGCTTGCTTTGGAGATTGGTGCTAATCAATAGAAACTCAATCAGTGTTTGCTGGTTTAATCTTCCCACAGAAGTGTTAGTAAATTAGCTAAAAAGAGATCAGCTGGTGAATTAGTAAGAGTGAAAACTTGTTTTAAAGACCTAACTCTTGAGATAGGTGACAATTTGTGACACACTGTTACATCCTCCTTTTTCCCCAGTGTCCTTATTAATGGAACAGTACCAACTTTCTTCCATGCACCCTCATCACTACAATCTGGTGTATTTGCCATGTGTGGTTTATGATTGCAATATTGAGTGGGTTTGCCACAGTTCTTGGTGATTAATGTTTCTGTAGCACCTCTATAGAGTAATGCCCTATAGAAAGCTGACTACTTTCAGAGTGGTTACCTCAAAACACATGAAGCCAAGAGTCAGTTTGCCTTTGCTTCATTGGGAAGAGTCAGAGAAAAAAGCCATCCTTGTGTTGGGCAACTTGGAAGCTCACTGCTGCTGAGGACATAGCAGCCAGTTTGGAAGTAGTCAGCTTTGTAAGGAATGCTGGTGGGCAGTAGGAATCCACAGCAACAAACACTTTTATACGCCAGTTATTAGTGCACAATTACTGGATCTTAACATTACAAAGGGGAGTTCAGTTACTTGTCACTGCTTTTTCATATATTCTACATACCACACCTTCTGTGCAGGATGTTTTCACAGCCTTTCGTCCTACGCTGATGCATTTTGAAACTCATCTGAAAGCAGAGACCAGACTAAGAGAGCCTAGACTTTATCCACTGCTGCTGACTGCACTGCCATTTCATATTCAACAAGCCTTCAGCATAGTGAATTCTAATACTGTTTTAACAAACTGTTGACTCCTTACCATTTTTTTAAGCAATTGCTAGTATATTGAAGAAGTGTTGCCTTCAGTAGGGTTAGATTTTATGAAAAGGGAGAAACAAAAACCTTGACTGTTTATTAAATGGCAACATTTTTTCTTTTTTAGTTGACCTAGTACTGTATTACTCTCTAAATTAATCCAGCCCCGGTTCATTTTATTTAAAGCTCCCAAATGGCCTGACTCTAACCTGTGGTTTTGGCATGGTTGGGTAGCAGCTACATGGGTAGATGAGCAGCTTAGTCAGATGAGTTAAATACTTTTCTTTAAATTCAAACCAATGAAACACACATTACATATCACACACTTCTAGAGCTCGCTCTGTTCAGTAGAGGCTTCTCTTTCACTTTAGGTCTCAGCTTATCCCTGTTACATCATATATCAGTCTGAACATGTATGGCTCCCAAAGACTTTCACCTTCCATGCTGTTCTTTGTAGACATTTTAATCCCATTCCCCAAGGCAGTGAGACTGTTCATATCAGTAAGGCTAGAAAATCTTCATTTTTCACTTAGAACTGTGCCAACTATCTGACATATAGGTGTTACCTAAGTCAAATTCCTTAGAGCTGATGTGTTCCTATCAAGGCAAAGACTTTTCCTATGGGTTTTTTTTTGTTGTTGTTGTTGGGCCCCTTCACACTTGTCAGGTGTCAGAAATAGGGCATTTGTCATAAACTGAAGTCCTTCAAAATCTTATTGAAACTCTTCCCCTGCTACTCCCCCAGCACACAGATGCATTACTGAGTTCTATATAAGTAGGTTTAATTTTTGAGACATGGAGATAACACACTAGAAGTTTCCTGTCACTTTCCTGCTAAAGGGTGCTTTTTTTGTTCTTTTGGTATCATTTTAAAAATAGTGCATTTCTATTCCCTTGGCACTGTCAGCATGCGGGAAGGCAATTCCAATGTGCTGTTTACTCTCGGGGGCTTTGAAGAATATTCCCATATCAAGCAGTATGTGAACTCTATACTGCCTACTTTTGCTTTTGTGATACTGAATGTAGCTGGATCAATTCACTTCAAGATTCAGAATTTCAAGGTTTCCTATGTGGCAGCCTGTGTAGTGGGGCTAGGTCACACCAGTTGGTGTAGACAATGAGAAGACCTGGAAATGCATCCACTGCATTTGATTTTCCAGCAAAGTAACCCTGCTCCTGCTTGCAAATCCATTGACTAAGAGAGACCTTGAGCACACAGCCAGACCAGGGCCTGAATTCAGCTTCCACAGTGAGAGCGAAGAGCTTAACAGCTCTGCCTGTGCATCCTGCTTGGATGGTGACACTGCTGCTAAGTAAGCGCAGTGTGGGAAAGGAGTTTTATTTCCTCCAAGACTCACATCGTGTCCAGGATGTGCCCAGAGTCTAAACAACAGCTGCAAACATGTATTTTCTTATCTCCCTTTCCAATTTTGGCTCATCTCCATGTTGAACAATAGCCATTGGATTGTCTATTTTCTGGCTAAAGGGAGATAATGGGAGTCAGCTTGAGCACAGTTTCTCTGTGTAGATCAAGGACAATTACTGTAATAAGAAGAGGACATTTTCAAGGAACTCCCCTTGCAGGGAACAAAAACCCACAAGGCCATGTGCCATGGCTCTTTCCCTGGAAGCATCAGCTTCTCCCTGTGCCCAGCACATGCTCTGACCTGCATGGAACTGCAGAGCCATGAAGCTGTGCCTTAGGCTCACACCAACACCAAACTGGGGTGCTCCTTGTTCACTTTGGAAACTGGTCCCTTTCAAGGACTGGAAAGGCCTCAGACCACTTACCTGTGTGTAGGGGAATGAAATGGCATTGGGAGGTGGAAGAGTAAGGGAGGAAAATGAAAGAAACCTTGATAACACCAAAACTAAAAATGAGGAATTCAAAGCATAGTAGAGAGAAGGGTTCACACCACTGCATCTGTCCTGCTGGCACAGGAGCTGGGCCACCTACCTTCTGGGTGATGAAGTTTTCTAGCAAATCAGTCTTTCCAGACTGATATTTTAAAATTCCATATGACCTTCTTTTTATTCCCCTTTTTCCCATGCAGAGTGTGCAACTTCTGGTACAAACAAGTTTGGGGACAAAGCAGCAACACCCTCTTGTGTGTATTTCTGGGGAAATGAAGCCTCCGGGCTGTGAAAATGGCTTGGGATGTACAGTAGGTGGAAGCCTGTGGGTGGGAGGAGGCAGGAGGTGAGGCTGGTCCTGCTGCCTGCCTGGAGGCCAGCAGGGATGGATGATGGTCCTGCTGCGCTGCCTCTGCGCGGGGCCGGGCACGGGCTGCTGGCTCTCGGGGGTGTTTTTCCATGCGGTGCCTGGTCAGGTGCTGGCTGCGCACAGGCTGGAGCAGCATCCAGTCCGGCTCTGGACGTCAGCATGGGGAGGGGGAGGGAGCCCGAGCCGGCTCCGGCGCCGTTGCTGAGGCAGCAGGAGCCTCAGCAGCATCCCTGAGAGCCAGGCAAGCAAACTCCTCCTCCCTCCCGATCTCATCTCGTCTGTCTCCCTGCTTCCTTCGCAAAGATGGCAACCGAGGGGCTGCGCGAGAACGAGACCTTGGCATCGCTGAAAAATGAGGCTGAGACCCTGAAGGGCAAGCTGGAGGAGGAGCGGGCCAAGCTGCATGACGTGGAGCGTGAGTGGGGCCGGGGTGCGAGGGACGCGGGCACCGCTGGGTGCTGCCGGGCAGGGACCACTGCATGCCGGCACCACGGCCTGGCCTCGCCGGGGGCCCAGGAAAACACGCTGCTGTGACCCGGAATGAGCGCAGCTGGAAGCCGGGGCCGCTGCCCGGGAAAGGCAGGAATGCCGCTCTGGAGCGGGGTGCGGAGCGAGCTGCCCCAGCTCTGCTGTCATGACAGTCGGTTTTCCATGCTCGCTGAAGCCCAGCTGAGAGCACGACCGCTGCGCTCGGCCGCGCTGCTCAAACAATGCACGGCTCCGTGATGGGATAAATAGGAAGCGGATGGGGAGCGGAGGCGGCGCAGCCTCCCTGGGTGCTCAGTGCCACGCAGTGCCCGCCGGGTGCGCAGGCAGTCCCCCGCAGCGCCCCGGCCGCTTCCTGCACCGCCTTTGGTGTGGGAGGCAGGAGGGGAAGGACCGTGGAACATCCCCCTCGGTGGTTTCCGAGGTGTGTTTGCATCGGTTTAGTGTTCATCTTAGCGGCAGAAACAAAGGTTAAACCCAGCCTTGGGGAATTTGGTGGGAATGAGGCCAGGATTTCACCCAAGGTGAAAGGGCTTAAAAAGGAGCCTTGTTTCCAAAACCAGCTCCTTCCCCAGGGAAACAACTTGCGGGGATCCAGTGCTGATTCAGAGGTGCGGGGTGAGTCAGTGCTGGAGCTGTCAATGCGTAACTCACCGTTATCAGCTGCAGTTTCAAGACCCACGCTTAACGAAACAGAAATGACATGGGCAGATTTCAGCCCTGACCTCCTCCCGTGCCCCCCGCCCCTGCTCAGGAAAAATAAGCTAACCTTATTTTTACGGAGCTTCTAAAATATGTATTAATTCATCTGTCCTGCGATATAAAAATCCTTTTTATTTTTTATAATTACAAAGATATCATATGTTGCAGTTTAGGGGGTTTATTCCTCTGAAATCATATAGCTCTAATAGAAATATTAATGGGTCATTAAAACTTTTCTTTCATCTGTTTGGATGCCTTTAATATTGGAAAGGAAAATGAGCCTGATCCAGCGTTTAAGCTTTCAGTGTTCTGTAAGACTGAGGGACTGGCAAACATCCTTAAATTTCAGGTGGCGAAGATTTAAGGGATTTTTTTTCTGGAGTAAATAGAGCATTTTCTTGTCTAAATTAGACAATCACACATTATGTGAGTATCCTATTAATAGGAATCATTAAACAAATGGAGATGTCTTCATTACAGAAACATTATAAATCATCATATTCCTGCAGTATAATTTCTGTATCAGAAATAGTGAAGCCTCTTTAACAGACCTCTTAAGCATATGCTTAAATCCATTTTTGTTCACAAGGAGTGATTTCAGAGACAGTGTAGCTTTACATGTCATTGATAGTCATAGGACATTTATGTCTTTGTCATATGTAGAATCTGTTGGAAGGCTGTGTTTGCATAGCTATGACATGATTTCAAAGACAGAAGTCTTATGTTGCTATAGAACAAGGCTCCTTCATGGTATTTTATATTATTGATTCTGTATCAGAGCTTTTTTTGCACTTATCTGCAAGAACTAATTCTGCAGAGATTGGAAGTTTCAGAACAAAGCATCTCTTCTGCTTGGTTTGGTTTTGTTGGTTTGTTTTGGTTTGGGTGTTTTTTTTCTAATCTAAAATTGTCTCTTGGATATTTCTTTGCTCTGATCATGATTTTCCCTCTATGGTTCCCAAAACAAACAGCTGGCTGAACTAGGATTGCCCTTATTTGTTCAACTGGTTTTGAACAGCAGCTCTCAAAAATGTGGATAGAAAAAGGAAATACCAAATGTGCATTTGATTTGCAATCTCACAATTTTAAGGATTCAGTTCTATCGCTTGAGGTGTAAAGAAAAGTTTGTTTTGTTCACACAAACTGCCAATTTTTAAGCCCAGAAGAGACCATTAGGACCCAATGGACTTCCAGGACAGAAAAGGTCAATGACCCAATAGTATCTGCATCAAGTTCCCACCTTCTGTTCAGGCCAAATGATATGTTTTAGAACAAACAGCCTGTTTTACCTGGACCTTTGTAGAACCACTCAAACTCATTGGCTTTAGCTGATCTGCTTGCCTGAGTGCGTAATTTTCAACTATCTTGAAACAATATTGGAGAATGCTTCAAAATAATTATCTGCCTCTAAAACCTGTGCTAGGCGGGTGCAGGATTATTATGGCTGTGGTTGGAGATAAGCGTCCTCAGAGAATCAGAAAGGCTAAACCAGACAATTCCAGCCTCAGCTGCGTTGACATAATGGGAATACTTTGTCCATTGTCTGTGAAACGTTTGTTTTCTCAGATAGGTTCTGGACACAGGCATCTTTCCAGCTGCGACAATAACCTCCTGTCCTGTGTTTTGATTGGATCATTTGGCAGGTTTCCATGGGTGAAAGTAGGGGGAATGTATCTTTCCTCAGTGGATTGGTATGCTGCTTTCTCAGAAACTTGCTTCTGACCTCATGATAGAGATAGTGGGGACAAATTGTCAGGGATGGTGAACAGTATTTGTCCCCTGGCTGGGTTAGACTGGTTGAGCAGGTAAATACATTATTCTGGCACAGCCTGTGGGGCTGGTGGTTTTGAAAGGCAACTCATGAAAAGCTGATCTACTGGAAATCAGTCTCTGCCTTAGGCAGAAGTTGTTCCCCTGACCATGGGCCATGAAGGGAGCTCAAAGTTAAGGATGCCTGCTCTTGGTGTGCCAGCCCTTCCTTTCTTGCAGTGCTAGAAAAGTGACAAAGCATGAAGCAGCAATGCAGCTCCAGAGTGATCACCTGCCATGTCGGGTATGGAGCTCAGCCTCCGACATGGTACTGAAAAACTTTGTATTTCCTTCACCATCCCATTAAAGCATGTAAGCTTCTGCATTCATTTCAATTACTGAGTCAGACCTTGCCCCCTTAGCTAACAGCAGCTGGATCTTCTTAGGTTTGTGTGTGGACAAACAACGCAGGTAAGCACTGGAGCCTATTAGCTCTGCTCTAGACAGATTGATTTTTAGTTCTGGTGCCTCAGGACCTCTGCTCTGCTGTGAGACTTCACCCCCACCAGACAATGCTACTCAGCAAAGTTCCTTGCCTGCCTGCTGTTCCTGTTTCCCATAAAAGAAAAAGCTGACCAATCCATGAAGTCATTAATGTCCATAGACACTGTTCAGAAGTTGGGTAGCGCACCTTTATAGTAAATGCCAAGCTTCCCCACTCACTCAGAGCTGTCCTGGCCCTCAGTGCTTTCCTGGCCACCAGAAGTGATGGCACAGCAAAGAAGTCTCCAGCAGCAGTGGCTAGTACCTGTATCACACTGCACCAGCCCTGCGGTACTGAAAGGTGATTGCAGCTGGGGGTCTCACATCTAGAAGTCTTTTATCATAGAAACTTTGGAGAATTGATGTTATCCCCTTCTTTTGTGTGATTTCTTTTTTGTCCAAGATCCATCAGTGGGCTTCACTTCTGAGTACCTTGAGGCATGTGTTAGGCTGGAGGCTGGCTGTGCACTTTCAAGCTTCAGCCAGTTTAAGGATTTCTCAAGTAAGAGGGGTCAAGAGGGTAATCTGTTTTCCAGTTTTACTTGGGTGTGATAGTCTGCAAGAGCTGCTACAGCCCTTGAATTTCAACTCTGAGTGAATTCACCCTTGTCTTTGTCTGGTAAATATGTTCATACACTGCTCACCTTGGTTTTACTACCTGCCAGCTCTGAAACAGAGTTCATTGGCTTGCACTATAGGCTCAAACTTCAGGGATTACTTCCTCCAAGTACAGCTCTGAAACAGAGTTCATTGGCTTGCACTATAGGCTCAAACTTCAGGGATTACTTCCTCCAAGTACCATTACTCATAACATAGACATTTACGAGGGAAGAGCTTTGATGAAGGGCTCACTAACCATCAGCTGTTTGCAGTTCATCAGGTGGCAGAGCGTGTGGAGGCGCTGGGCCAGTTTGTGATGAAGACCAGGAGGACCCTGAAGGGCCATGGAAATAAAGTTCTCTGTATGGACTGGTGCAAAGATAAGAGAAGAATTGTGAGCTCTTCCCAGGTACGCTGTTGGGCAGCTGTTTCCAAAGCTAGTGTGGGGCACTATACAAATCTTCTGGCTGTGCTATGTGCCACTATTTGCAGATGATACCTGTGTACAGTGTAAATGTTTTCAAGGTGCCATTGAAGCAGTTCATTGGCAATGTATTTGTTTAGAGAGTATAAATCCAAGATCATCACTACACCTGTTGTAGCTAATACCCTAAATATTTCTTGTCCAGTCATATATGTTTTCCCCATATTCCGTACTACAACAGAAAATAGAGCTCATCTGAGGCCACTTTTATTTCCTTGCTCTTTGCAGATGAAATATTTAGTAACTATATCAGTTTATGTGTTCAGAGAAAATAACCAGGAAAAGGGAAGGGTGAAAAAGACTTCTGTGCACAGAGATTTCGTCTGCAGTCTGTATGCTTGCTGCAGCCTTAAGAGCATCAAACGTCCTCCCAAACTTACTGCTTTTACTTGGGCATGTTTAGAAATGGTCTTAACACCTGCTCCAGACCAGTGTCATGAGCCGGAGGAGGTAATGAGATAATTACTTTCTAGATCCCCTCGTTCATCCTGAGCCCAGTATGGCAGTGAGTGAGCTCGTTGCATCTCACAGCTGTTCATTGACCTATATGAAATCTGTCAGGGGTCTCACTTGAGGGATAAAAATAGGCAATCTGCATTGCAAGCCACCTTCAGTTACTGCGAGTTTCTACCATTCATGGTGATCTCAACACAGAGTAATTTTAAATAATTGATGTCACATTTTCTGAAGTGGTTAATATGTCAGTGTGCAGCTCAGAAAGCTGAACAAGGCAAGTTGTAATGCAGTTTAGAGATTTTTACTCTAGTTAAGAACCATAGTGAGTCCAGATACACCAATAATGGTTGCTTAGTAATAAACATTTTGCTTTTGTGATGCAGGGAGGATAACAATATTACGTGCACACGGCATGTGTATAGCTGCCATGAGTGTAGCTGGCATACACAAAGCGCTTGTGTTGCTCTCTGTTGGAGGGTTCTCACAATGGCAATTTAGCAGATTGTATCAATGGTTAATTGAAGGTTAAGTAAGTGTAGAGAGAAGGGAAAACCAGGGAAATACAGGAAAAGGAAGATGAATAAACCGTGTAATGTCCATAAATAGTCCCCATGAGTGCTGCCAGTTCAACAAGTGATTTGTAACACAGGCCACCTCTTGCATTTGTAATGCTCTGTACTGGTCCTGCCCATCCTGCAAGTGAGAGGATTTCTCATAAACCCACTAAAAGGGAAGGGGATGAGGGGAAGGGAAATTACAAAACACCCATCTTTTAAGCCAACATTAGTCATCTCAGTGAGAAGGAAATACACCTTTCTTCCGGCCAAAGGCATAACTGGCACTACCGAAGAGTGTCTCCTTGGTGCTTCACTGTGACCATTGTACCATGTTAAAATGGGGATAAAAATTTAATGACAGAACAGCCTGGGGGATGGAATTGAGCAGCAGAGTTTTCCCGTATCTAGGAAGCAGGCTGACAACTATGTCTCTGGAAGGCCTCAGTTTCTCTCTCTGTGTGCTTTCATTTAGGATGGGAAGGTGATCGTATGGGATTCCTTCACTACCAACAAGGTAAGTGAAGCTTCAGCAGAAGTCTGATTCCTGTGCACCCGAGAGATGACAGTGAGATAAGATGGAGGGCTGAGGGCTCGCAGGTGTCACAGGGAGCTGCAGGTTGACAGGATAACATGCAAACCTCCCCCAGCATGTCAAACCAGTGGTCCCAGGGCAAACCACCTCCCTTGACCTGTCTCTGAGCAAAATCCCTGTCAGGGCGTGGGAGTTTGCTGTGGTGTCAGTGGGAGGCTCTGATCCAGCCTCTTTGCTGACAGGGAGGGATCCCAGCTGGGGCATAGCCCATCCAGCAAAGCAGAGGGCCTCCCTGGGTAACCCCAAACCAGGTGCCATTTGTGGTAACCAGGGATCCTTCAGCTGTGGTGTTCACTGTGCTTTGGTGCCACTGCTCCTCCAGCCCCAACCAGGGCTGCCTCATGGCTCCTGCTCCATACAGCTGAGAAAAACAGCTTGTTTGTAACTCACTTTTACAGTGCAGCACTGGGACCTTTTACAGCACTGAGTAACCCAAATAAAACATGCTCTTTGATCAGGTTGGGGTGGGTGAATAAGGTGGCAAATGTCAGGACTGCCCATCCTGCTGGGTTCTGCGTAAGGGCTGTCCCAGCCTCACATGCGAGTTACGGCTGGGGGAAACACCTTTCACTGACCCTCAGGATGTCCCACAGAAATACTGAACTTGCTACTCTACACTATTTTCCTTGCACTGACTAGAGAAACAGTGACATCCCAGTTTAAAGAGATGCTGTGTTTCAGGAACATGCAGTGACGATGCCGTGCACCTGGGTGATGGCGTGTGCGTATGCCCCCTCTGGATGTGCCATTGCCTGTGGGTAAGTTCCCTGTTCCCACAGCTGCTTACACAAAGGAGTTAGCTTGATTGGTAGTGGTGTCCTCGTGCCTTTAGATGCTGACAGCTAGAAGTTTTCATGCCTTGATTGTGGGTGGAAGGACTGTGTTCAGTGCCTCTGATTCTATTCCCATAATGGCTCGTACATATTATCCCCACTGACTTCAGTGCAATAACATTTGTTGTGTAAGCAAGGAAAATAATCCTCTTTTAGCATTTATATCATGGGTTAAGAATTCTGCATGCATGCAACTTCCCTGTTCCAGTTTGGTTATGCATTGGATATATCTTCTAAAGGAGAGAGGTTTTAACTGTGGTCTTACTTTGCACTTTTTCTTCTACAGCATAGACATTAGTCATGAATGATAACCAGCACGTGAATAGATCTTGCCAAGATGGGGTGGGGAGAAGTAACTCCATCCTTTATAATCTGCTTTAAGTTTTCTGAGGACTCAGGTTTGAAAATACTGAGTTTATGCAGGGGAGGAAATAAAGATGAAATGTTGGCAAAGCATCTTTTCATAAGAGACTGGGTGGATCAGACAGACAAAGCAAGCTTGGGGCAAGAGAAAGGAACAAAGGGAGACTTCACTGTGCAGCTTGCAAATACAGAAAGCTGAGACAGACAGACTCCACAAATGTGTGTGGAGAGGGAGTCCGGAAACAGGACGGCTTTGATTGAATCTCGAAGAATGGCAAGAAAGCTCTGTCTTCATACTTGCAAGAGAGACAGTGAGGGCACACATGCATTGCACTACCTAATTCTCTGTTTCTGTCGTCCTGTCAGTTAAGTGCTGTGCACGTAATACAAGGCACAGAACCAGCACTGGTGGTATGCTGTGAGATCCCTGGGACCATGGCAGGGCTGATCTACCACGGCTCTAGAAAGGGGTCAGACACAAGACAGAGCCTTTAGAAAAGACTCCTGCATTTGGCCTGGGAGACACGTTTTAAGTGGTGCAACTGTCCAGGAAGGACATGTCAGCTATAGAGATCAGTGCTTCTGCTAAAGCCCTTTCTTCACCCCCACTACTTGCTATACCGTCTCTTCCATAGGAGTTAGGTTAAATTTGCGAAGGTAGTTAAATAATGATGCTTTACTACAGGTGCTCAGTGACAGATGTCACCAGAAAGCCGTCAGTTTGGCTCTATGTGAAACTACCCCTGAGGTGACTGCTCTGTCACCTCCCGGGTTATACTTTGGTGAGGTTTCATTCAGTGCCATTTATAAACTCCACGAGGGTCAGAAATACCGGGCGCAGCTGTTGGAGTTCTGTAAAGCAGCCAGGCTGGTGAGGCAGCTGGGGCTTCCCTGTGCAGGGAGATCCCGGGCAGCACAATACAGGGAAGTCAGTACTTGTAAGGGTTTGGCAGCACAGCACTGACAGGTGGTTTCCTTCTTATCACCACTCGCCTTTTGTCATTGCAGTTTTAACCAGTTCTACCCTCTCTCTGTTATTGCTATTATTGCTCTCTTTAGTGGCCTGGACAACAAGTGTTCTGTGTACCCTCTGACATTTGACAAAAATGAGAATATGGCTGCAAAGAAGAAATCGGTTGCAATGCACACAAACTACTTGTCTGCCTGCAGCTTCACTAACTCAGACATGCAGGTAAATGCATTCCCTACCCACTGCTCGCTGTCCTGCAACACTTACCACGAGCTGCACTCGTATGTGATGCAAGTCACCTTCCTTGCACTCAGGGCACCCAGGGCCATGTCCTGCTCCATGCAGGGGCTGCTGGAACACCCTCGCTGAGGGCAATGAAGATGCTGCAAAAGCTGCTGTAAGAAGATGCTTGTCACAGCCCACAGCCAGGCTGTGATACCTGCGCTTCCACAGAGGGAGCTCACTGGTACCTGTGTGTTCTCTGCTCACTGGGTCTGTGCTGGCTTCTGCTTTTAGGAGCAAAAACTAACACAAGTAGTTAAAACCCCAGTTTCACCAGGACTAGGCTGGGTATGTGCTGTGCCAGCCGATAGAGACTGTGTTGTTTGCCTGCTTTGTCCTGGGCATCCAGCCCACTTTTGCTTTAATTCTTAGTATTTTTGTTGAGTGAGATGTTTGAGGTTGAGGATGGCCCTGCAGGGCCAGCCCTGTGCTCCCTACATGCAGTGATGTGTTCCCTTGAGGAAAAGGAGTGATGCTATCCTCATCTGCCAGCAGGGGAGGTGGAGCAGAGAGGCCCACGGTGGGAGACAATGACAAAGCTAGGAACTAAATGCAGATCTCCTGAGACCAGGCCAGCCTTCCTCTGTAGTGAATATCAAAGATCTCTTTCTCCAGGAGCATGAAAGATGATGAAAGGAGCCAAGATAATTCCCTGTCCTCTTTCGTTTTTGAATTTCATTGAAGCTCTGCTCAGTGCAGCTCTGCAGCAAAATAAGTGGCAGAAGAGAGAGCATTTTCATTGCTCTCTGTGTCAGCAGAGCTGCTGGAAAGGGAATACCTTGTCCCCTTCTTCCAGATACTTGGAGCTTTGCTGAAGGAAATATCAGCTTTCATTGCTTCTATTTCAGGACATGAGATGCCCAAGAGTATGTTGTTGTTTGTCGTTCTATGGTGCCTGCAATGACTCTGAGGTGCTAATTTAAGTGCATTGCCATGGAAACAAGTGGTGGAGGTACCCAGCGCTCAGGCTTGCTTAAGCCCTGACCTTACTGTGCAGGAGCCCGGTGTAATTAGAGCTGTCTAAATTAAGTGGAATGTTTTTGATGCGATAGAAAACCAGTATTCTCTTTCCTTGTCCATATTTATGTGCATCATGATTAAATCCTATGAAAGGAGAAAGAATTATTTTTCATAGAAGAAACAGAAAGAAAAGTTGGGTCTTTTTTCTCCATATTAAATACAGAAATCTGCACTGATATTGAACGAAAAGTATTGTTACTGTTAAATAATACCACAGAGGACTTAGATGCTTTATATTCAGTGATTCAGAGATTTTTCTAAAGACTTTTAAAAGAAATCTTCTTGTGATTGATAGGCTTATAAGTGATCATTTATAGCACTGCATGTTGCTATTGAAACAAATACAAACAAGTGGGTTGGCCAAGCTTCTGTTAGAACACTGTTATGTAGGGGATCCTAGAGAATCCCATATTTCTTATCTTTTCCTTTACTTAATGCACCCAGAATTAAGATTACTCAGTAACAATAAGGGTGCACCGTGCAATGAGCACACTGTGCGGGAGCTTTCCCACCTGTGTGCGGAGCAGCTCTGCTCTCCCTGCTTGTGTCACTGAGGGATGTGGTACCTGTCCCAGAGCAGCTCTAGCACATGGCAGAGGTTCAGCATCCACTGCTAGGTGCTGTGAGTGCTGCTGCTCCGCTGTGGCTGCTCTCTTAAACTACAGCTCAGTTTTCCCTCAGAGGAATGAAAGACAGGAGTTTAGGAGTTGATGTGTCCATGGGCAGTGCAGTGCAAAAAGAGAAGCGGGGTGGTTCATTATTGATTAAAGCCACTCTCAGGCTATGCGAGTGCTGAGAAACGGGGTCCCATCCTTGCTCCTCATCTGGGCCAAAACAAGTGCTGAGCTGCAGGGCTGGGTGACCTGCACCTTGTTCTCAGTGCCCCAGATCAGCTTTGCCAGAGAGAGCCTCCCTCCCTCAGTACACAGAGAGCCTCGCTTCCTAAATTAGGTATGTGCAGCTCTGCGGTGTGATAACGCTCCCCACGTGACAGTGCTCCATGTGTATTAATAGCAGCAGTTAATTGGGATCTCAAGTGTTTGCATAGGGCAGGCGGACATACTGCCAGCGCGCTGGGCTGAGGAGCAGGATGAAGCCCGTGGCGATGGCGGAGGCGGCCGAGGTGAGGGTGCCCCCTCTGCCCTCACCGCTGCTCCCAGCCCTGGTAGGGGCTGTGTCCCTGCTGGCCCCTGCCCTGTGCAAGTGCTGCCTCTTGCCACCAGGCGCCAGGCAAGGATCCTCATCCGGTGCTGCTGGAGCCCCTGGTGCTGCGAGCGGGAGGCTGGTAGCAAAGATTGATAATTTCCTTCTGGGCTTGGATGTTTTGGGTTCTTTTGGTTTGGTTTTCAACAGCAATGCCCTGATGTTAAGTCCATAACCTTTGTCTTTAAGGATTAGCTGCGTTGCCAGCAGACCCCTTCCTTACCCCTTTAGCTATTCCTATTCCCCTCATATCTATCTCACAAGACCAAATCCTCAGGGCTGGAAGTCTGCATTCCTCAGCCAAGTACAAATATTCCTCAGAACAGGAAGTTCATTGATTTAGGCTCAAAAGCTGGTCAGAAATACAAGTCAAGACTTTCTTCTGCTATGATCATCTTAGTGCATTGGTGTCTCTCTACTGCAGGATTCGGAACAGTTTGTTCTGCCGCTTTGCAGACCGCCGTTTATGGGAGGAGGTTTTGGAGCACCTGTCAGACATGTTCAGTGTTTAACCTTTGTGCAGCTCTGTGAATGGTTTCATGATTGCCTGATCATTTTCTTCTTGACGAGTATTTTCTTGCTAATTTCTAACTACCCATTGCGGTCCCTTGAGTTTTCTCACCGACCGTGAGAAAAACCTGTGTACAAGGCTGAGAGCTCTCCTACGTTCACACTTGCCTCTTCCACACCAGTGCACAGAGGCTCTTTCACCCTTCAGAACCTGTGATTGTATAACAGCTTTGGGTGCCAAGGGGGAGTTTTGAACAATTAACCATCATCAGGATTTAGGCACAATAACAAGCACTGATCACAAGTGCTGTAGCACATGAGGGAAGCTGGGAGCTGGGTTTGGTCAGTGTATGCTCAAGCCGTTTCACACACAAATGGTTTTGGACAAGTGAGAGGCGATGGACTTAAAAACAACTGTCTAGACAGGCTTACTTCCCTTTCAGAAAATCCATGCCTTAAGCCCAATTAATTGAGGTTAACCTGGCTATTTCAAGCAGAAAGAAAAACTTAGGGAGCTAAACAGGTATACTTGACTCCAACAGTTCTGCTCTTTACCCAGGTTGAATTACAGCAGCTTGAACATGGATAGGGTTAAATACAGGGGCAGACAGGAATACCAGTCTGGTTCTGCCTCCTTTTTGGAGGATACGGAAATGCCAGCAGATCCTTATTGCTATCAGTTCTCCAAACCCACTGCATAAAACTGACCATTATTGAAGCTATGAAGATACAGCTGTCCTTTCCACTCTAGCTTCTTTCCTTAAAAATAAAAGCCATAAACTGTGCTTAGGTTCACATTGAGTTTATGGCTTTGATTTATTACATGTTTCATTAAATTAAAGCTGTTCTTTGTGTGTTTATAGGATGTCACTTGTTTGTGAACTTGCAGATCATCTGATTTTTGCATTGTGACTCTTCTTGCCACATCCTATAGATCCTGACAGCAAGTGGAGATGGAACTTGTGCTCTGTGGGATGTGGAGAGCGGGCAGCTTCTACAGAGTTTCCATGGTCATGGAGCTGATGTCCTGTGCCTGGATCTGGCCCCTTCTGAAACAGGAAATACTTTTGTCTCTGGGGTAAGCAGGAGCTTCCTATCATAATATAAAAATTAAGGAATGTGTAAAAGGCAGCAAAGGAGGAGGCTCGTGATCTTATTGAGAGAGTGCTGGAGTGTGTGTTGGAAGCCCTAGTGCAATCCACTCATTGCAAGCACATTTTCCAAGCTGGAGCAAATTAAACCCCTGAGTGTGGGGTCAAACCCACCCAGCCAGTCTGACTGCAGTTCTGCTTACTTAGCAAATTCCACCCCACACCAAAGCAATCCAGCCTGACATCAAAACAACGCCTCTGCGGGGCAGGGAAAGGCTCAGAGTCAGAGCAGCGGGCTCGAACCACAGCAGAGGTGTGAGCCCCTGTGGATAGGAGCCTGGCACAGCAGATGACTTCCCACATTTGGCTGCTCTCTGGTGACCAGCTCTCTGGAGCCAGACGGGGTGTGCCAGGCGGCTGCCCAGGGCATCGAAATGGGGCCACAAATAACATGCGTGCCACTGTGTCCCTCAACCGCTCCCCAGAAGCCAAGAGGTAACTTGGATGCTGGTAAGCCCTCGTACAAGTTGGAGCAAGGAGAGGAGGTGTGGCCACATCTTCAGCTGTTGTTGAGTCCCCTGTGCCTTCCAGCGGTACCAGAGGTATTTAAAGCCCCTTTGTCAGTGGAACACTGCCCGCTCCCTGTCCTGGCCCAGAGGAACACACAACCCTTGCTGGGGCTGCAGCACTGCTCCAGGAGAGTACCTGGGGCATCTCCCACATCTTGTCCTGCTGCTGAGGGATCACTGATCCAGGCAGCTGAGCCATTGGCATGCAGCCTGGCAGTGAGGCGGGCAAGGCATAGGTGGGATGGGGTCAGCTCCTTTTTGAGGTGGTTGTGGTCTTTCCCACATCAGAGTGTGCGGTGAGAGCTGGCAGGAGCTGAAATGACCTCTCCTACTGAAGGCAGGCTACTACCAGTCATTTTGCTGAAGGTACCTGGTTTCTGAGCCCCACCAGCACTGGCACAGGGCTTGTCCTGTGCGTGCTGATGGAAACGGCCCTTGTGCCAAAGGGTGCCAACCATGGATTAGGGGATTCCACCTGTGCTCAGCATCATGGTCCCATCCCTGCACAATAAACCTGGGCCTTTTCTGTTCTGGCTCTTCTGACACATTTGGCTGGCCCATCAGGAGCAGATCCCAGCACACTGGCCCAGTTTGCCTGCTGCTAGCACAGCTGCTCCGAAGCGTGACTGAAAGCTAATTCCATCCAAATGCATTACTCCTCCCGGGCTTTCCTGTCACTGAGCTTGCTTCCCAGAAAGGATAGATTCATTCTCCCTAGGAACAGCTCAGCTTATTATAGGGCAAAGAATCACAAGCAGCTATGGTACTGCTGAGAGAATATGTCATACTTTGTAGATGTAGCAGCTTGGGCATGTCTGTGCTTACAGGGACTTGCTTAATTCATCACATGCAAAATACTGCCTCAGTGAAGGTCTGTCTTATACTGTGTCAATGCAGGTAGAGCCAAAACAGTGTAACCTGAAGGTGTGGTGGCATAGAGAGACTCCCTATGCATTGTGCCTATGTAATACAGTAACCTTGAGCTGGAATAAACAATGCCAATACATCAGTGTGTAGATTGGGTGCTGTTATACTCAGTGACTTAAGCGAAAATCCCAGCCCTCCTGGGAGAGCTCAGGGCTCTGTCCTGGGCTCAATGCCCTCAGTGAGCTGGATGGCACTCAGGGGTCCCATCTCTCCACAGACATTGCTGTTTTCTCCTTCAAAATCTTAGGAGACAAATCACCAGCTTGTCTGATTGGTCTTGCCCCCAAACTCCCAGAGAGATCACGATGAACAGTGCACATGCACATGGAAGCAATACAAAGGGCTGGGCTTGGGCTGTGGCAGGACTTGAGAGGCAAATATGCTGAGTCTAGAATGTTCTCTATCGTGTTTCGTTTCCTGTGTGCAGAAACCACAAGCTGGTACAAAGAAACATTGCCTCTTTTAAGTATGACATCATTAGTAGAAAACTGGGATTTCATTTAAAAAGAGTATTAAAAAAGAGAGAGAAAAAAGATGTGTACTGTGAAGAGACTGTTTAATTTAATTAGCAATCATATTTTTGTAAAAATAAATGATGTGTGGTACAGTCTGTTGGGCAGGACACACTCACTTGGCAGAAACAGCAATGTCCTGACCTGCCCCATGCTTCCACACCCCTCAGAGAGGCTGAGCCCCCCAGAGCTGAGCCTTGCCTACAGCTTGCCCCTCACCAGGGGCATATCTATTAAAATCTCCTGCTCCTCTTGAAAGACCACCACAATTGTTACAGCAGTTCAGACACCACAGTTGAGACATCCCACTTCAGACCATGACCCTACAGGTAAGAGATGGTTCCTGCCCTGAGGACGCGGCAGAGTACATGGGCTGAGCCCCTTGCCCAAAGCATTCAGGGTGTTGAGCACCTCACAACAAGCACTGAACGCTAAATGGTCTTTTCAAAGCATTGGTTGAAAGGCACGTTAGAGCTTGACAATGAGATGTTAAATGAGATGTTAAAATGAGATGTTAAAGTGCTGTTATGCTGCTTTTCTCATCCCAAGCATGCCACTGAGCAGTGGTTGCAGAACCACAGCAGGGGTTAACTGGTAGTAGGAGACTGTGCAAGAGACCCTCCAGATACACTTATTTCATTTTCTGTTTCAATGTTTGAAGAGAATTAGTTATAAAACTTTAAATGCTGCATATTAATTTTTTATACTGGGTATGTTAAGTGGTAAGGGAATGAGTCAGTAATGCAGCTCCGTGGGGTGGTGGGACTGCAGGCACAGGTACAGCAGCAGCACAAGCACAGCAAGGCTGTGAGTGCTGGTTAGTATGGGGCTGCCTGCACACCCCCTGGCCTGTCTGCACCCCACTGTGCTACATGGCAGTGCTGTGCCCTTGCTGGTCTGCAGGACCACTGAGGCTACAGCCTTGGTAGAATACTCTGCTTCTAACTGCAGCTGCATCAGGCTTGGGGTACCAGTACAGCCAGTTCTGGGCCTGCTTTGCTGGTTAAATCCCCTCAGAGCAGTGATGTTCTGAGCCTTTTAATGTAGCCGGGCTTGATGACATGGATCAGACACAAGTGATGAATGTCACCATTTGCAGAGACATAGTGAAATTTTTTTGTCTTATTAGGGATGTGATAAGAAAGCCATGGTTTGGGATATGCGGTCCGGTCAGTGCATCCAGTCATTTGAAACCCACGATTCAGATATCAACAGTGTCAGGTCAGTATGTTTCTGGGAGAGGACACATTTGTGATGTTGAGCAATGTGCTCCTTCTATTTTTGAAGTCTGACCTCATCCAAGTAATGTAATGTGTTCTGGTCTTCTTTTTTCACTTGTGCACAGATACTACCCAAGTGGGGATGCTTTTGCCTCTGGTTCGGATGATGCCACGGTATGTCAATTCCTATATATAAATAAATAAAAGTAACCTAATTTAGGAGAGTTCTGCTACTTCCTGAGTCTGATTTTCCTAAAAGACTGAGTCACATCCACAAAGGACTTGCCTGTGACACCAAAGTTGCAGAAATACTATATGTAATATAGTAAATATATTAATTATAAATAATAAAATTATGAAACACATTACTATTAATGCATAATATGTATTATATTAATATTAAGATAAACGGTATATATAATGCTGTAGGGGAAATCTAGTAGCACTTTGTAGGTCACCTCTGCAGACTTTTCTACATGAGGTTCTGTCCAAATAGTCATTTCAGATTTTCTGTGTTTTGAAGTTTCATGATCAGAATGACTTGTCTTACTGGAAGAGATATGGCTTTCTGTAGCTGTTGGTCACAAATGGAAGGAACCAGATGAAATGCTGCAGCTTGTGTCAGAAGCAGCAGCACAGTGCAAGGGTATAAATGGAGCCTGAACATAATGCACGTGTCCCAGCAAACAGAGAGGCAGTGGGCTTAGTGCAGAGCTGAGCAGACCCTCTCAGCACTGTGCACCCTGAGAACACAGTCCAAGGGTGGCCTTGGCCATGTACATCTCCTCCCTCTCAGCCTGAGTCACTGCCAGGTCTTCACTGCGGTGAATCACCACATCTACGTTGTCCTAGATGATCTTCCTTATCTATGAGCAAGCTGCTAGGAGGGGCACAGGATGTATTGACAGGCAATTGTGGTCAGCACATTGTATGCAAAATGCCACTGGTGCCTCCGGGTCCCTGAGTCATGCACAGGGCTGGTGGCTCTCCCTGTAGGTGGTGGGTCCCCATGGAGGACCGGGCTCTGCCTGTACCACAGCCCTGCAGGGACTGAGCTGGCAGTTCAGTATATCTGCAGGGCAGATGTCTGGGAGGCAGCTGGGACCTTGTTTCTTCTGTTTATTCAAACATCACAGAGTTGCATGAGGATGAGCACTTTATAGAAGTACTCTGCCCTCATTGCATGTTTTGAGTCTACTGCAATACTAGCTAAACTCAATAGAATCATTCCTTGTGTCTTCACTGGATGTAGAGGTGACCTAAGGCTTTTCTGGAGAGAGTGTACACTGCTTTGGGGTCTTAAAAGCTGTGATTATAAAGTAATACCTCTAGCTCTGTGGTGAGCACAGTGGCTCTCTGCACATTCAGGTGTGGTACCGAGATGCTGAGGTAGTGAGATGGAGAAATTGTCCATTATAAATTCCAATAAGAGCACTCCTTTTTATGCCCAGTGCCACAGGCTCTTATTGATTTATTTGATTTTTTTTTCCCTCTCTCTTAACTATTCCTGATAGTTGAGAAGGAGAATGGGAAAATCCATCTCTGTACTTTTGACAGAGGTTTTGACAGTTTCCGTTTCTTTAAATAAAGGGGGTGTTTTTTTCAGTGTATATCCTGATGCACTGACAGGTATCCTTGACCTGATCTACATGCTTAGGGATTTCAAGGAACAGATAATCCTGACTGGAGGGAGACCATAAAAGCATGCTTACATGGCAGTGCTGTCACCTGCGGTGACCCCAGCTCTCTATCAGGACAGCCTGAAGGAATTACTCATCAACCTGGAGGAGACCTGGACTTCACATACCTGGCAGCTCCCCACCGCCCTGCGAATGAAACAGCCTCTCCTTTATGTGCAGGCTTGAATAGCAGCCATTTTTTATTTGTAAAGTCTTAATATTAGCAACCCCATCTGCCCAGTGCTTGCTTAAACTTAACTTACTGAGGAAGGTTTTCAGTTCAAATAGATTCAAAAATGCATTTCGATTTCAGGCTAACAGACTGCCTTTATGCATGGCAATGAAGTCTGGTCTGCCTGTACTTTATTTCCATATTAAACAAACCCAGGTATGCTGGCAAATGATAAAAACAGGAAGTGCAGGTTGTAGAGGTGATTGGGAGTTTTCCATGAGAAATGAACACCCAGTGGTCTATATAGGAATGTTTTATCTCACTTGATTTCATGTCAGGTTTTCAAACAGAGAGGCTGCATGGAAGGGCATGGGCTGTTTGCTGTCCTGTCTTACTCAGAGCAAGGACTACCATCTAGGCCTCCCCATGCCAAGCGACTGTGTGAGCACTGTGCCATGTGCTCTGTATTCTCAAAGGTTACTAGTGATTTAATCCTCTGTCTTCCAGACTCCGTATGTGGCTAAACTATTTCTTTAGAGACTGTCTCCCATGTACCTCCTTAGCAGCAGGATGACTAATATGTAGGAAACCATGGTGGGGAAGCAAGAGGGACTTTCAGTGGGTAGCCATGGTCCAAAGCCCACCACTCATCTCTTTGTAGCAGGACAGGCAGGAGGCTTACAGAAGTAAGCTTACAGAATAGGCTTACAGAAGCCTTTTCCAAAGGTTTGGAAAAGGTTTGGAAAAGCAAGTCCTTCACTCAATTTATACAGCTTTGTTTTGCTTAGGTTGCTGTTAGACTCCAGAGGAGTCCCAGTTACAGCAGGCAGGAATAGCAGAAGGGAAGAAGCCAAGCAGCCACTTCCCGTGATGTGTTAGGCTGTGGTCCTTCACAGTCCTTTTTTTTAATGGAATGTGGTAGTCATTGACTCCAGCCTTTACTGAGGCATGTGTGTTGATTTTGTTCTAATCCTAGTGTCGTTTATATGACCTTCGTGCAGACAGAGAAGTAGCAATTTATTCCAAAGAGAGCATCATTTTTGGAGCATCCAGCGTGGACTTCTCTCTCAGTGGTGAGTCCTGAACTTTGGAGGTTATCTTAGTGCTGGAATTTGAGGGGAACTATAAAGTTTTACCGGTTTAACTTGGTAAAGCATTTGTTATTAAAAGTAATACTAAGTACCAAAGGAAACATTTAATACATGGAAGACTCTTTTTGTCTCTGTAAAAGGAATTACTCTTTAAATAACCTCACTGGCTATTGCTTTGTTGTAGCAATGAAAAGTATTTTCCTGGCCCTACTGAAGGCAGGAAATATTTTGTCATTAACTACAGCTGGGCTAGAATTTCATAATAATGACTAAAAACATTTCAAAGGAAACAAGAAATGTAACTAGACTATGAGGCACACTTACACAAATAGCATTTAAAAGGATAGTAAATGACTAATAGTTAACGTATGTTAGAGAAGCATGGAGACACATATATTACCACTTTTCACTGCAGATCTGAAGACATGAGCTCGAGTCTTCTCCCTCCTGCCCCAGCACAAATGCAGATTTGCATGGGGATGAGTGGGTGGTGAACTGCCATCCCCCCGGGACAGAGGAAAATGTCTCTGTCATGGTCACAAGCCCACAGCTCATCCCCTTGGGGACAATGAATCACTTACCAAATTGTCTACTAATCATTCAACCATTTGTATTCAAGTAAAGTCTGAGCAAAATATCATTACCCTGCATTGGCTTTTGAAGTGCTCTTCAGTCTGTTGTGATTTGGTGTCATCCCGTCTCTAATGACTGAACAGATTCTATATAATTTAATTAAATTTAACTATTTTTAACTAATTCATTTTCATTGGTTCAGCTTTCAGTATGGCTAGCTCAGCAGTGGAGCAGGGCTGCCTAACAGGAGCACAGCTAGCCTGGAGGAGCAGTGGTTAAGGCTTGCTGTGTGCAGAGAGTGGCATGGGAAAGCTGGCTTGTGGCTCACTGGGTGGTGGATGTCCCGCAGAAGGCCCTTGCAGCAGACAAGACGTTCCTTAAGACCTCACTTTGTAAAATCCCATTCTCTTTGTAGGTCGCCTACTGTTTGCAGGCTATAATGATTACACCATCAATGTCTGGGATGTGCTGAAAGGGTCCCGGGTATCCATTCTGTTTGGACATGAAAATCGTGTTAGCACCTTGCGGGTCTCTCCAGATGGGACAGCGTTCTGCTCAGGCTCCTGGGACCACACGCTCCGAGTAAGTGCTGGGGGCAGCTACTTTGGGTGCTTCTTTCCTTCTTTGATTGTTTAAAGGTGTGAGTGGAAAGATTTTTACAAGAAAATTGACTCTAGATTGACTAACAAGGCTGTAAAAACATAGTGTAAAGCATGAGCAGAAAATTCCAATTTAAATGTTCCCACAAAGTGCCAACAGAACTGTTTTGAACTTGTGAGTTAAATAACATCCTTGCTGCTGATGCTCTGTATGACTAATGTGACTGCCTTGCCAAATTCTGATTAAACATTTGATAGAGTAGTCAATGTCATAAATGATTGTTCAACTCTCTCTCTGCAGATCTGGGCTTAACCTGAGATCCTGTATGCAGAATTGAGTGAAGACTGAAATCCTGGAATACAAAAACTGCATAAAAACACCACTCCTCAAAATCAAATACTTGCTATACCACAAAAGAGTGACATCAAACCCACAGGCTAACACAGCTAGGTAGAAAATGTAATCTGCTTGATCATATAGCAAGCACCAACCTGTAGTAAAATGCAATATTTTTAATTCTGTTTTGAAACTATCTTCTTTTATTAGAACTAGTTTAGATAATTAAAAAGGGACTTTTCTCTGAAGTCACCTGTATCATAGAATTGAGTATTTCAGTGCACATTATGTATTTATTTGCATGAATTTAGTTCCTTTTTAAAGTAAAAAAAAAAAAAAAGAAAAAAGTTTAAAAAAACCCTGATTTCTGATTTTTATCAGGATGTAGCATAAGACTTTGGAAACATTCCGTAGTAGTGCATTGAATTCTGGTCGTGAAAAGTGGAAAGGAAATCAATTCTGATACTTTATGATGGCGTTAGGAATGACTGAACCTTGGTAGTAAGTAGAGGAGCAGAGGACCTACTGTGAAGGTACTGGCTGTTGTCATAAAAATGTATTTTTTGTACAGAAAAGGAATCCTTTCAATCCCTGGTTTTTCCTACTGTCTTTTTAGATAGAAATAAGTATTTCATCTCTGTTACCTGAATATAAAGAATCTAAATATATACAAACTGATAAGCTGCAAAAAGGAGGGATATAAACATGATTTACTTAATCATGAGGTAATACTTAACCAGTAGTTTCTTAGAAATTTTTAATTGTATCACTTGGTGAGTGAATTTTCTTTTACTTAAAGGAATATTACATGCTAAGCACTAAGGGATACTATACGCTGAGCACTAAACACTGTTACACTGATGGTCAAATCTTTTCCAAGTCAGTCATAGTCATTCTACAGTCATGATTCTTACTTGCATTTTGAGCAGTTCATACCACTTTGGCAGGGCACTGTAGCTTAAATATGCATTGAGGCAGTATATTCCCATTTTAAGGCCCTTCTGCAGTGTCAGAGCAGTGTAAGTTCATGCAAATGCCTGTCAAACCTTACAATTCCAATTGTACAGTCCTTATTGCAACAGTAATCTCCTACGACTAGCATAGACATAGTTTTGTCATATTTAGAGTTGAGAATTCACAACAGTGAGTTGTTGAAAACCTGCTGTGAGCACAGTTCTGGCAGCATTTGACACCGTGCTCACTAGAGCATCTGATCCAGGAGCTGCTGGGCTTCAGGAAAGCAGTACAGCCGCATTGCTGGCAGCACCTTGCTGGCAGCACATTGCTGGCAGCTCTGTGTGAGCATGGTAATGCAATACAGACTGGCAGGACTATGCCTGTGAGGAGCTGATGCTGTAGAATGAAGATTTAATCAGATAAAGCTGAGATACAGTTATTTATAGAACTACTGGGAAATTATATCTGCATTTATACATTGGAAACTATTGAGTGTGTCACCTGAGCAAAGGCACATAGGGAGCAAAGTGCTGGAGTAATGCTAGGGGCTTGCATGGTCTGGCCTTTGAAATGCAAGTGGTGAGATACGTCTGAAAAGATTAAAGACATGGTTTATATTTAGATTGAAACAAGAGAAAATAAGCTCACTGGAGTGGGCTTGATCACAAGCTCACTGATCACTGGAATTGACTGTTCACCCAAGTTTGATAATATCCTCATTCTATTTGGAAACGGGATTTCTTTACAATTTGATGAAAGTTGTGTTAGGAACAAAGTCTCCTCATTCATGAAAACATTAGGTTCCATGAATCCACAGTTATCCTAGGACACTGACATTTGTGTGAGCCTTCAGACTCTAATGAAATAGTCCAGCTGTTCTCACTTGGAAAAGCCAACTCTGATGCTTTGCAATGTTTGTGGCAAACTATCCCTGTAACAAACTGCACTATGGAAATGTCATATAGAGCTCACTGTGCAATACTGAGTCAATACACTGTACACATCTGATCAAAAGATTAATATTAATGTTTAGATAGTATTTATTGGTAAGATGTTTGTTTCAAACATACTACATTGTGTTGATACTTATGAATGGCCTAATTACAATAAATTGTATTTTACATATTGAGAACATGTATATACTAGTTTTTTACATCAGTTAGGTATTTGTAATGGTAGCTATTTTTTCTCTTTTGGGGGATTTACTTTTTGCATCATACAGTTTCTTAGATCATTTGTCCTGCAAAAATGTAGGGTGAAATGTAGGTCGACTATAAAATTGCTTTTGGAATATCTTCTGGAAATACTCAAAGTGAGCCACAGCAACTGAGTCGTCGAAGGTACCTGAAACTCCACATGAGCTCCTTCTGCATTCAGGAGGCCAGCATTCAAGTTATGCTTTCCTGCTCAGAAGGATCACAGCTAATGTGATGTTTTCTGTGCAGAATCAGTATGTGTTTTGTGGGAGCACAGGATTCTCCTCGCTTTGCAGTGGGACACCAGTGGTAGCTGGGCACTGACACACTGTTGAGGGCTCAGGCTCTCACTGTTTGGGTAAAACCAGATGTGCAGATCTTGCGATTTGCATCTTGAGATGCAGCAGTTCAGCCTTGTCAGTAGAGGAGAATTGTGCTGGGCTCAGCTGTCCACTTCCATGTAGGTTTTGTGGTCAGCATGAAGTTGGCTGGTGGAAGTGCTCAGTTTAGATGCTGAAAAAACCCACATCCTTAATTTAGGCACATTGTTTCATTTCCTTCCCTCTGAGGGGAAAAGTGCTGAGCCAGCTTGTTCTGAGTGACAGCAGTACCCAAACCGTCACCAGTTCCAGTGAAAATGAAGCTGGCATCACATCTTGCACCTCTGTTCTTAAGAAGGGAGAATTCCTGTGGTTCCTGCTCTTCCGGGCCAGTAAGTCAGGCTTCATGGACTTGCCCCATGTGGAAACCACCTTTTTGCTCCTGAGGGAATAGTGAAAGCCATGAGCCAGAAAGAGCTTCAACTTCCCATCAGATAAATGAAGACAGAGGAAGAGGGCACTTAGGTATCCATTATAGCTCTTACTCACTAAAGGTTGGCCAGGGAAGCGTTGGAAAACCCAGTGGTTTGAAACTCCCCCTTCGGTCTGGGAAGCTATTTGTGTCTCAGAAATGGCTCTCTTCCTTTCCAGAGGGAGAGGTTTTAACCTGTATCTTGTCCTTTCCTCAGCACATCCCAGCCTTGGAGAACAGCCACAGCAGCTCTGGGTGCAGCAATGGAGCAGCAGTGTCACATCCCAGAGCCTCAGCACTGGCCCTACCTTCTTGACCCGAGCTGAGGTGAAGTAAAAGCAGCCCCAAAAGGCTACACAAGCAGGATGTAACCAGGGTGAATGTATGGAAGCAAGCTATAGCCAGGTCAAAGTCACTATCGGACGGCTCCATCCTGTTAAACAGAAATGCTATATAAACAGGAAGGGTGGAAAAGGATATTGCAAGAGAAAGAGCAGCCTCTCCCTCTTGCTCTCCTGCTGTGAGGAATGCAATAGGAAATTCCTGCCGCAAGATTAACAATCGTAAGGAAAACTAGTTAAAAAAGCATGTGTGTAGAGCACTGGTGACAAGTAAAGATATTCCAGCTACTGCTCTAGCACATAAACACAGGCTTGATTTCCCTGCTTCAAAACAAAACAAAAGCCAAATATGGGGATGTAAAACTAAAACTTTGCCTTGGGAATGACTCTGAGAGACCAGGCCAGTTCTTGATAGTGATCTGAGAAACTGCAACAGGGTTTATTCCAACCATCTATTTTTAGATTTTCTAGCAGGGATGTGAAATGGAGACAGAGAGCTGCGACTCGAGATAGATGCAGTGAAGCTGAGCAGTCCCATGCCAACACGTTGGGCACCCGGATCCTGTTGCCTGAGGAGAGGTGACAGCTTGCCCCCATCCCAGGCTGCTGTGGCAGCACTTCTCCCAGCGCTGGTACGGGGGCTGCATGGGACAGCATGGTCACAGGCCACCACCTGAACCTCGCCAGCAAACCGGCACGGAGCAGGAAGCACATGTTGGGTGTACCTGTGCTGTCTGCCATAAATCTCGGTGTGGTGTTTATGGGAGTCTTGATATCTGTATGGAGCTGATGGTACTCCCGGCTCGAAGGGCGCAGCTGGGATGCAGGAGAGGCATGTGGCTGAGACGTCTCCATGGTGCTGTGCAAACGACAGGGCTTGGCCAGTGTTGTTCTCTGCCATTTTATTTTACACCAGCAGCGAAGGGCCAACCTTTGTACCACAAAGACCCTAATCCTAATTTTTGTCTGTAAACCCATCACAGCAAACGCCACTGCATTTGTTTGGTAAACAGACAACGCGCTCATCCTGCGGCCCTGGAGAACCTGACTGATGCACATCATGCACTGATGCGTGTGTGCGGAACTATAAATAAAGAGGCATCTCTCCGCCCGCATCTGGTAACCCCGCGGTTTGCTGCTGCCGGGGACACCCGCAGCTCCGTGCAGTGCGTGCCCTCGGCAGACCCACACCGTGGGGGACCCCGCTGTGCGGGACGTGCCGCTCGCGGGGCTCCTTCCCCCCGCTCCGGGCTCGGCTTTCCGCCGGGCCCCGCCCCGGAGGAGGGCAGCGCTGCCCATCGCCCCGGGGCTGGGCCGGGCGGAGGGGCCGCCCCGCCTCTTAGTCGGCGGCAGCTGCTGCTGCGGGGCCGCAGCTGCCCTTGGGCCGCCGCCATGCCGGGATCGCTGAAGGAGGAGACGGCGCTGCTGCTGGAGGACTACTTCCAGCACCGCAGCGGCGGCAGCGCGCTGCCCCCCAGCCCCACGGCGGCCACGCTGCGGCGGGCGGCGGCCGAGCTGGAACGGCAGGAGCGGGTCTTCTTCCGCTCCTGCGCGCCGCTGGCGCGGGCCGAGCCGGAGGAGGCGACGGCGCTGCTGGAGCGGGTGGCGGTGCAGCTGGAGGCGGACGGCGGCCTCAACTGGGGCCGGGTCCTGGCGCTCGTGGTGTTCGCGGGCACGCTGGCGGCCGCGCTGGACGAGCGGGGCTGCACCGACGGCCCCCGCTGCCTGGCCGCCGCGCTGGCCGCGTACCTGGCCGAGGAGCGCGGCGAGTGGCTGGAGGCGCACGGCGGATGGGTGAGCGGGGACGGGGCGCCGGGCGGGCCCCGGGACCAGCGAGGGTGGGGAGCGGGAGCCCGGCCCGGGGTGGATAACGGGGGCCTGGCCCCTTTACCCCGCTCGCAGAGCACGGCAGGGCAGCCGGGGAAGGGGCCGCCGTGATGCGGGTGATGGGCGCATGCGGCCCCGGACGGAGGCTCCGCAGGGAACGCGGACCATCTGTGGGGCCTGGGGAGCTCCCAGCGGTGGTCGGTGGGGACGTGCGGGGTGCTTAAGGTGCCTGTGGGAGTCCTGTGTTCCGCCTTGGTCCGGTTCCATAAAGGTGCCAGTGTCCATCTTAGATGAACTGCAGCCTCGGGGAAATACAGGAGCTATGCGCTGGCTTGTGGGAACAAGGGTTACCTTCTCAGGTCCGCAGATTTTGGAGAGCAGGCTGACACGGGTCTTCTCCCAAGCGTAAACACAAAACACTGATGTGCCTGTTCTCAAACGCGCCTGGGTACGAAGCCACCCGTCTGCTAGACCTGCTGCTCTGGTTCCTGCTTGTCCTGGAACTGGTCAGGTCGGAGCCTTGGGAAGGTGTGGGCAGCAGCATTAATATACATTGCAGCGTAAAGCGGTGGCTGCTGTTGCTTTCTGCCGCTTGAGATGCATGCTAAAGTACAGCTTTTAAAGCGTCCATGAGGCTCTGCCTATGTTACAGAACAAAACGTCAGCTGTCCCACAGAACTGCACATTCCCTATTTCCAGTCCTAGTGGAATATTTGATGTCAGTACAAATAAGCACTAAAAATAGAAGGGGGGGGGGGGAAGCAGCCACTGGTTTCGTTGTCTTTTCCAGACACCAAAATGAACTTGGTTTTCCAGTGGTCCATCTGACTGCTCAGAACAGCATGGTCGTTGGCTGCAGTGTACACTGTCACTTGGCAAAACTGCATCGCTTGTTCGCACAAATTAAAGCTTAAAGAACAAAGTTCCGGAAGAAATTAAGAGTATAACTTGTTTACATAGACATCTGCGGAGCAGAGTTCAAACACGACCATCTGGAGTTGTATTGCTGCCACTTCTGATTATCACAACTAACGATCTAGGAGAGCAGCTGCCAGCGTTGCTCTGAGCAGTGTCCACTTGGCCCTTCCAAGAGTGTTGTCATCAGTCCTGTATCCACTGAGATGGGACCAGCTTCGGTCTTCTGCCTTTCAAGTGGAAATTTCCATATCCTGTGTTTCAGATGCTTTCTGGAACTTGAATGAGGGGGAACAATGCTGGCAGCTCCCATCAGAAACTTGTCTAAAAGGGCTAAAATAACGTAATGGCACGCTGAGCATCTTGATAGGAAGGTTGCGATTGTCTGTTGAGCAAGGCATACAAGCACTTGTAGCTACTGCTTCTAGTTGCCTTATGCAAAGGTTCTCACAAAGCATTTTTGTGTGCCCGAGGCAGAAGGTTTAGACCTTCATAATTAAATTGATAACTTGTATAGCTGACAAACACCATTCTGGGAGTGTGAACCAAACTATGCTCAAAGAGTTGTTAAAAGAAATCCAGTCAGTTGTAAGCCAACCAACTCAATGTCATTTCTCTGTCTTGCTTTTCTAGGATGGCTTCTGCCGCTTCTTCGGCAGACAGGGATCCGAGACGGCTGAGCAGAGCAGTACCATAAGCAACGCGATCATGGCCGCAGCAGGGTTTGGAATAGCAGGATTGGCTTTTCTCTTGGTGGTGCGGTAGGCTGATGAATGGATGTCGCCACGGGGAAGTACTCTCAAAACTGACAATTTACCAGATTTCACTCTATTTTCTATAGAACAGACCCTCTAAGAAGAAGTTTATATTTTTAAACTGGCTTGGGAAAATGTGTTGCCAAACCCTTGACTATAAACTGCTTCACACAATACTCAGTAACAGCACAAACAAATGTGTCCTAAACCACCATTTGTGCATGTTCAAAACCTCTTATCTGCAAACATCCTCTGGACTTTCTTATTGAAGATGTAACCTAAGCTTTAGCATGGTTCATGTACTGTAACTTCTGAGTGCTTGGTGTTATGCTAGGAAGACGTTATGGTGGACTTGCTACTACTAAACCCTCTGTTTGAGACATCTTTTTTACATGGAGGCAAGTCTCTGAACCTGCCTTCCATTAATACTGTAAAGTGGGTGAACGTTAACTGTGATTTAACATAGCTTATGGCTTCAAATACGGTGCACAGCACTTGTTACCGAAAGGCAATTAGTTGGTTGATTTAGAGCAATTAAATGCCTGTGATGCAAGGGGCATTAGGGCTTGATATAACATACAGCTGATTTCATTACACTACAAGAAGATAAGTATTGATACAGGACGCTAATGGCTGCAGTACTGGTTCTTACTGAAAGGAATTTAAATATTAAACCTTAATTGGTATATTGAAATCCAGTGGAGGCTGGAATTTCTCTGGATTTCCTTGACAAAACAAGAATTTCCATATATCTTAATATATTTTTGAAGTATTTATCACTGTATAATACTTGTAGCCATAACATCTTTATTTTTGTTTAAAATTTAATGCTCGTTCTTGTCACTCTAGTGCGTATCAAGCGTTGTCTTGTTCAAGTAATATTTCACTCTATTTTCAACATGCTGTGTATTTCTTTCAATGGTTGTACAAATTGCCTTATGTTTCTGATAGCTTTTAATAACGTTCCTGGGTTACTCATAGCGTGTAAAATTTTACTATGGTGACTTCAAAGTTGAATAAATGTTGAGTATTTTTATTTTAAAAACCTTAACTTTCTGCTTATTTGCTTGAATGGGTGATCCACTCCTTGGATGATGAGTGTTTTGGTGCATCAGTTTGTGTTCACCTTCCTGGTGCTTTGACCTGAAACAAGTAACTGTGGAGCACCAGAGCGGTGTGGTACTGCTTTTTGCTGCAGAGGAGTCCTGCAGTAAGAACTAAGGCTAAGTCAGCCTAAGCGGAAAATCCAGTCCAAAAGGCCCATCTTCACCACTGCAACTGGAAATAACCATGTGGTTTTGTAGGGCAAAACTTTCCAGAGTGCATTAGCATAGGTGAGTGCAGACAGGCTCCTCTGAGAGCTGCTCCTGCTTGTGCAGAGCAAAAGAACTCTTGTTCTCTGCCAACACTTGCTGCTGCCTCTCTCTTTCACACGTGCACACTTTTTTATGAAGCTGGAGTTTCTAACACGTGTTACAATGATGACTTAGCAGTAGGTGATGGAGCTTAACATTACTGGCTTAGTAATACCGAGCAGCTGTACTTTTGAGTGTGCTAGGTTTAATTCTTAAAAGCGGTCTCATGCTCCTGTCTACAAGTGAGATGTTTCTGGGGCACTGGTGGCTCTGATATCTGCTAAATGGTGCAAACCTGTTGTTCAGCCTCTCTCCCTGGTCACCCGTCAGCCCACTGCTCTGCCTGTAAAGAGGGCATGTCCCTTCATGGGGAGAGCAGTTGGCATGTGTTAGACTTCCTCTTGGGAAAGTTGAGCCTTGGCAAGCATCGCTGTGGCCGGCAGTGGCCACACTGCTTCTCCTTCTGCTGGCCACTGGGCCCAGGGGTAGGCGTGTGGCAGGGACCGCAGCGCAGCGCCGGACAGAGCGGCGTTGTGTGCCTGGCCACAGATGCGGGAGAAGGACAAAAAGGGACATTCAGGGACGGTAAGTCCTGTGGAGGAGGGAAGGAGCTGGTGGTGCTCCCCCCTGCACTGCCTGCTCCGAACAAACGCCTGCTTGTTCTCTGACTTCCAGTTCTCTAACTCCAGCTTGGCTGCTCCCGGCAAGAGGATTAAGAGCCTGCGGTGTGGGACCATTGTGCTCAGTTCCTCTCCCAAGTTCCCACAGGGATGGCGCCTGCCTCAGCAGCAGCTGGATGCTCTCAGGCGTTTGCCTCCAGTCCTCCTGGCCAACCGTGAGCCTGCAGTGCTGGCAACTTTGGCTACAGTGGGAATGAGCTGGCTGGTGCTGGGAAACAAAGGTAGTTTC